AGAGTATTAAGTGTAAGCGGATGGGTTAAGTGGCTAAGGTTTGACGATTGATATCTTAGTAAGGAGATGAGATACAATCATGAAATTTTCAGCACCACTGGATCAAGGCATTATCTAACGAATGATGAGCTTTAAAAGATTTCATCAAGTTGATAAGATCTTGGTTTCAGAGGTTTTGTCAGAATCGGTGTTTCAACTCAATAGATGGCGCTGCGATTAAGAAACTCTGTCCAATAATTTGGCAAAGGTTGCTCTATATTGTGGTCAAATTTTGTAAAGAACGGTTGCGTCCTCTCAGAGATATGAGTGTTCAAAGATGTACAATTTAAATGAAACGCCCTGTATATTAAAAAAAAATACTCATATGAACTTAAAGTGAAGTCTGGGTTGATCCACTAAGACACAATGGCATTTCCCCACAGTCTGGTAAACAGCTGATAAACTGATAGGATTTATTTTTAAATTCGAGTTTTCTTATATTCCGGAATTCTCCCACGATGGTCGATTCCTTCCTAAATAGCCTACACTTCATTTCCCTGCTCCTGGTAGTTTTTACCCACTCTCATTGTCTTTGTTCGCTTTGCTCGAGGAAGCAAGCCTTAGCAACTTCATGGAGGTCTTTCGACAGCCTTGTTTCCAGCCCGCCGGATTGACGATCCCTTCAAATGGAAGTCGGGCGCGCAAGGACGATTGCATCTGGTCCTCAACGCGGAGAAGCCTTATTCGACCCAGTTAAGCCTGTTACTACCGTTCTGATTTCAATGGACTCTGCTGCAAAAATGTATCCCTTTGTGTGAACTGCGTCGTAAACTAGTAAAGTCCAATACTCCGTGTATTTTCGTGAAGACATATGATAGTAATTAGGCAATACATTTGAAGAAATTCTCTGGGAACGAAGAGATAAAACAGAACTCAACATACGACCATCCGGGTTCTTGTAGTTACTGGGTTTAGTTCTTACCTTTCGCCTTAGTGTAACATTTAACCGAACTCCCTGAGCGTGGGAATTCCCTTTGCTAATGGTAGTGTTCATTTTATGAGGAACAAACTTGCCAAATATTTGCCGAAGTACGATGATGTACGAGGTACATGACAGTCTTGTGAGATAGTTTAAAAGATTTTTCCTAATTTTTGTCGTTTCAATATTTTGACGGTGATGTTCTGACGTGATCCCGTATCGGCTCCCCATTTTTTTCCTATCCAACAGCATATAAATATGTCTTCCTGCCCAAGACAGGAAGAAATGAATATGATTTCATGGAAACTGCATGATGTCATGGACTGCAAGAGGAAGCTTCTGTCAACGTTTCCTGATCCGAAGACTTTGAGCTGTTGAGACCGAAGATTTCCCGGAATTCTCCAACAAGTGCTTCTCCAAGGGACTGCAAAGAAGGAATTACAAAAGAAAAACAAATACTAACTGCATGTATTCGCAAAATCAGATCAAAACTAAATTAGAGAGAAAGTAAGAAGAAAAGCCTTTCTGAGGTGACTCAGTAGGCTTCTCTTGAGGTGACTGTTGACAAGGACCACTCAATTTTGACTAAGAAAACCATTTTAAGTCTTTGTGGCCTCATGAGAGCCCAATTTTTTCTTCTAGTTCCTACGCTTAAGTAAATTCCTCGGAAGCACTGCACTAGCAGGGCATAAATCCTGAACGTGGATCAGCGTGATCACCACTTATTCAAAAACGCGGCGGTAAATGGTAGAAAACGATTGTGTCTGTTCTGGGCATGGAAAACACTCCTTGACACGTTCCTTCGTATTGTCTCCATTTCAGGACACATTTTACACTGCATATTAGTAATCAAATACCTGTAGCAGCGCGAAAAGCTAGGATTTTGAAGGAGGAACCAAAGTGCAAGTGCAAGACACTACCGCCAACTAATCTAGGATGTAGAAAAACGTTCAGTAACAACCAAGTTTTCAAAACTCGTTTGAAACCCAAAAAATGTTGTTTTTTTATATTGATTGTACGGTTTCGCAACTTCCCTAATTGAAGGTTATGCCATGACAATAAATGATGTGGTTCCTAACCTGCGTCGGGTCTCGACTCTGGATGTAGAAAAACACTTCCAGGAAGGCGACCAAAAGAGACAGGAAGATGCTGATTCCCAGTGCCACAAATATCCCACCTGTCAAATATTTTTCTTATATTAAAATTATAATTAAATTTTAAAAACGTAGCATTTTGAATAGGAATTACTAACCGAGATGAAGTAAGTCCAGTTGCGGCTGGTCGAACTGCTTGGTGGTGTCAGGGCACTCGGAGCGATCCTTCCAATATTTCCTGTAAATAGCATGCAAGGCACCTTGTTCTTGCAGCTGCAGGATCCCTTTGCTCAGCTTATCCGTCCACGCCGAACCTTTCAAATAATTCATAAACATTCATGGCTCTTGTACAGAAACTGGTTTGGATGTATCTAAGCTCTAGTTGAACTAAAATATTGGCAGATATTCTTGATGCATTGAAGAACTTGTTGCAACCGGAGCGACTCCTTCATATGATTATCTTTATCGCATTCGTAATAATTTATTTCAAAACGTCTTTTTTCAGCATCGTAAACTTGTATTGCGTGTTCATTCCAAACGTCAACTCCGCCCGAAAGTAATGGAAATAATACTTTTAGCAACAGTTTGTCAATCACTGGAAAATTTTCATGTGCATGTAGGTTATGAATGCATGCAATAAAGGACTTACCCTTTTTCAAAGCGAAACCGTAAGCATCTCGATTGAATTCAGGGCCCAAGACGACTAGATCTTGGCACTGAGTTGCAGCTATATACTCGGCCGCCGCGGTCTCCGTGAGGTAGGCGTACGTGCCAGGGTTCTCCAGCACCCGAAGTACTCCTTCAGTTCTGCCCGAGGTCAAGAATTCCGGATGGGAGGCCAGAAAATCGCCGATCTTCTGATAATCGGGAATCTTCGAATTCTACCAAACATTAAGCAGCATGCTTGAGCTGGGCGGGAAATGTGTGCTATCGCGAATTCCAGATTGGCCTTAGCCAATTGGCTAAGCCGATTGGCCTTTCTATCCATACCATACAAATACCAGGGGTCGGGAACCTTTTCGCTGTGAGCTATATTAAGACTAAGTGCTCGTGAGTCAAAGATTTTCAAATTTACAGAAATTTTCCTGAAGCTTGCAACAGACATGTGCATTCTTTGATACGTGAGAAAAATGAGGAACAACCATGATTTTTAGCCTTGACTCATGAGCAAAACTTTTCAGTTCGTGAGCCAAATTTGGCTCATGAGCCATAGGTTTCCGATCCCTGGTCTATACTATCTTTCTCATCCTTTCCAGACTTCAATAGGATCTTTAAAAAAAAACTTACATGAACCACGATACGAAAAAAATTCCAATATGTTCTTCACACTTTTTACACAAAAATTTATTCGTCGTTTTGGCATAATCAACCGCTCTAAGTGGAACTTAGTGAACCCTAAAATTGAAGAACGCTCGACCTCGACACGCGATATCAAAATGGGTGTAATCGCCTCTTGATATCACTAACTACCTTCATACCTTCATACCTTGAAATACTGGAGAGCATCTCTCTTGCTTGCACCGAAATTGACGACTCCATCGGCGAGGTCCTTCCAAGAGGTGACCTTGGGTCTGTAATGCGCCGTCGTGAACTCCTTCGCCACCACCGTGCTGTAGAGGACGAGGATGAGGAGGGAGAAGCACCACCACCAGTCACGCAAACAAATATTTGAGTTCGATGAAGAGGGTTCACCTCACGCGTCCTCGCTCTCTTTGCCAAAAAAAAAATTCTGCCATTTTTTCGGTTGCGTTTGATGCATTTTTCAAAAAGGGAAGGTGATGCACATGAAGCACTCCTTCTCGGTCAGATGCGTCGGCCGAGAACTCCCTGAATACGTCGCCTAAAGCTTCTTCTTGTTTTATCACTTCATCCCATGAACTCAGCGCCAAAATGTCCTTTGCATTTTACAAAAAATGAAGATCCATGCACCGATACGAAAGCGAAAGCAGTCATGAGACGTAACACCTGCATGACATCCGGCATTCCTGAGCCCGCACCCTGGGCCTTAATGAATGACATCTAGTTTCATTTTTCGTTGGGAAGTCATGCAAACAACATCCTTTGTGTCCTTTTGATTTACAATACAATATTGTCACGGATTTGGGCGTCTATTTTAAGGATACTATTTACCCTGGAACTGCCCGAAGCAGAACGGCGGCCTACCGACGTCGATTTTATCGACGGTTGGCAGTTCTAGGGTTGACGATCGGTATTCAAATAATTTAGAAGAGGGAAGAATGCGAGGCTCGAGTCTAATGTGTCCGGCGAGGGGCGTTAAATGTCCCCTGAAAATCGCCCTCTTTTCGGGTCAACGGCAGGGTGAATGGAGCTCGGCCGCTTTCGAGTCTCGACATGGGTCATAAACATCTAACCTCGGGTGTCGTTCGGTGGATGTCAGGGTTGTCGGACTGCCGGATCTTATTTTGAAGTTCATATTTATATTTTTTGCACACGAGCCCACGATTTGAAACCGTAGCATCCAAGACAGAGCCTAGGAGTTCCATTCGCAGGTTTCGATTCGGAGAGAAACCGGAGAGGCCACAGAGATGAGGCTCGGCGCTAATTCCTGTCGGCTCACAAGGGGCTCGGTCGAGGTGCCCCCCCCCGTCCAGAAAGGGTTCGCTTCGTTGTTAGGATATTACGAACCGAAACAAAATAAACAAACCGAAGCGAACCAAACTAAACTAAAGAGACGTCGCAGCTCCATTTCAGTACGTCGTATCAGGTTCAGATATAGGGCCCGAAAGTCCGGGGGCAGGATCATTAACTCCGACGATAAGCTCGGCTAAGCCCGGGTCGTTACGATGTGGCCCCTCCAGTTGTGATACTGTTCATTGCAGTATTTTTATTTGTAGATAAATAACATACATTAGAGAGCACCGACATTGGAGATTTGCGGGAAAGAGGAATATTTTTATTTTCAACTTTTTTACTTTCGGAAAATGTTTTCCAACCGTCCTAAATAGACTGATGGATTCTCGCACCCCGACAAAAAACATCGTTCATCGTCGCAAGTAAATTGGCGCCAGAGTTTGCTTGGATTTCTTGTCGAACGCGCCCTTTCGATTCTCCTTCATCGCGTGACCTTGCAGAGTTGATTTTAGACTTTAAAGTACGCCCAAAGTTCATCCAGTATCTGGGTGAAGGTGGCTAATGGCCCTATTTTGCGTGAAAAACACGTGATTAATTGCGATTCCGCGACGTTGGAGTTGCGACAGAACGAAATTCCCCAACGTTTCCAGATAACGCTCAGCTGTCACGATGCGGCCAGCGTCGTCTCCAAAAAAAAAAAGTGAGACCCGATTACGCTTTGAGACGAAGTGACTGGAGGATCATCGATTCTTCCTCCCGTGGAGGTTCAGAGGATTTTCAGCATTCGTTTCATCAGTAGTTCCGCTCGTTCGCGTTCCCCGTTCAAAGTGAAATCAGCTTTGTCTGACGGGAACGAATTGCATATAGCGTCGAAATGATCTCTAAAACAGAAGTATTAGTACAATTGGAGGATTGCATACTTCAAAAAATTATTGAAGCATTTTCCCAGTGTCATCTACTTCCATATGCATTTTTTAAAAATATTTTTTAATTATCAATGGAGATGAAAGAAGAAAGTTAACGTGAAGCTTCCGTGCAGCACACTAGAAGTGAAACATTTTCCCCCACTATTTTTTTCTTCGCGGAGAACAGTTTGGATCTTATCTCCTGGCACCTCAACCAGAAGGGAAGTCGCACATGGCACCTCAGGACCAGATCCATGCGATATCCTCCTTCGAAACGCCTTTGCAGTTCGTGGCCCAGTTCCTGTAAATTCCATTTTGCACGCAATGCAGCATTCGCAATTCCGATGACCCATTCACCTGTGGGAGGGCTCTAATTGAGTCCATCAGAAAATATGGAGAAGCGGGTAACAGGCTGATGTTTTATCCATCAGCTTCATGGTCATCTGGGAAAACGCTGATAACGACGCAGTGCTCTCCTCATTTCTCGTTCGGCAAGGTTGAATCAAAATGAAAGTGAATAGAAGCTTGGAATGAATCATGAAGGCACCGGAAGAACTTAGGTTCTCACCTGTCAAATATTTGCAGAAGTGCGATAATGTACTAGTACACGAAATTCCTGTAAGAAAGTTATACAAGATTTTTCCTAATTTTGGTCGTTTTGATGTTTCACGGCGTCATGACGTGGTTAACGCATTTCCCCCCGGGTTTTTTCTATGCAGCGGCATATAAAAATGTCCTCCTGCCCAAGACATGGAGAATTTTAATCCGATTGCATGGAAATAAAATGATATCATGTACTTCAAGCGGAAACTTCTGTCAAAGTTTGCAAATCTGAAGACTTTGAGATGCTGAGACCGAAGACTTCCCTGAATTCTCCAGCAAGTGCTTCTCCAAGGGACTGCGAAGAAATAATTAAAAAATAAAAGCAATTAAGCCTGATGCATGGGTACATTGGGGAAATTCGAAAAAAAAATGGAATTAGAAAGTTAAGAATTCATATTTTCTGAGATGACCCAATACGCCTCCCTCATGAGGTTACTGTTAGCAAGGACCACTTGAATTCCTCAAATAAAACTATTTTGAATATTTCCTTAGCCTCGCGATTGCGCAATGTTTTCTTCTAGCTCCTTTTCTCAAATCAATTTCATGCAAGCAATGCACGGACAGGTCATGAATCCCTAACGTAAATCAGATGTGATGACCACTTTTTGAAACATGTCAATAACTAACTAAAAACGATTGTCCCTTTTCTGTGCATGAGAAACCTTCCTTGACACGGGCCTTCTCAGAGTCTCGATTTTATAACACATTTTAAATTGCACATTGATAATTGAAAGCCTGCAGCAATACGCACAGAAAAATTTGAGTGGGAAGAACAAACGGGCAAGAGGAAGGAACTGCCGCCAATTAATCTGGATTATAGGATAGCGCTCCAGTTATAAGCAGGAATTTAAAACCCAAAAAATGTTTCCTCTGATATTAATTGCACTGTTTCTTGACTTCCTTAATTAAGGACTAACCTATGACGATAAATGATTAAGATGAGGTTCCCAACCTGCGCCGAATCTCGTTTGATGACGTATAGAAAAACCTCTATGAAGGCGCCCAAAAGAGACAGGAAGATGCCGATTCCCAGCGCCACAAATATCCCACCTGTCACATTTGTTGGAAAAAAATATTGAAGTTAATAAAAAGAAATCAAAGAAAACTTAGCCTTTTGTGCATGAATGAGCTAACCGAGATGAGGTAAGTCCAGTTGCGGCTGGTCGAACAGTTTGGTGGTGTCAGGGCACTTGGAGCGATCTTTCCAATATTTCCTGTAAATAGCATGCAAGGCACCTTGTTCTTGCACCTGCAGGATCCCTTTGCTCAGCTCATCTGTCCAGCTCGAACTTTCAAAATAATTTATCAGCATTTACTGACCTTCCGACATTCTGACCGACATTCAGAAACTTGATTGGATGTATCTAAGCTCCAGCTGAATTAAAATGGTTGCATATTTTCTTCATGACATTGGTGAACAATGGATGACATTGCGACCGTAGCGAATTTATTTTGAAATCGTCTTGGTCGCATTATTAATAATTTGTTTATAATTTTTTTTCCTGCGCTAAACATTTTTAATATGGGCAATCCAAACGTCCAGGCCGCCCAAAATTAACGGAAGTCATGCTCTTGGCATCAGCTTTAAATATCGCAACTTTAAAAACTAACTGAGGCATGCATAAATTATCCGCATATAAGTGGACTTGCCCTTTTTCAAAGCGAAACCGTAAACACTGCGATGAAATTCGGGACCGAGGACGACAAGGGCAGCTAAGTACTCGGCCGACGCGGTCTCCATGAGGTAGGCGTACGTGCCCGGGTTCTGCAGCACCCGAAGCAGTCCTTCAGAGATGCCCGAGGTCGAGAATGCCGGATGGGAGGCCAGAAAATCGCCGATCTTCTGATATTCCGGAATCTTCGAATTCTACCAAACATCGAGCTGCATGCTTGGTCTGGGTGGAAAATGTTTGTTATCCCTAGTTCTAGATTAGCCTTTAGATCACTGGTCTATAGCATCTTCCTCATATTTTCCAGGCCTCAATAGGATTTTTTAAGACTTAAATTGAACCACGACGCAGGAAAAAAATTCCACTCGTCGTTTGAGCATAATTTTACTGCTCTCAAGTGTGACTTTTTCCCGACTGACCTTGAAATACTGGAGAGCATCTCTCTTGCTTGCACCGAAATTGACGACTCCATCGGCGAGGTCCTTCCAAGAGGTGACCTTGGGTCTGTAATGCGCCGTCGTGAACTCCTTCGCCACCACCGTGCTGTAGAGGACGAGGATGAGGAGGGAGAAGCACCACCAGATTCCCGTCAGGAGCCTCGTTGACAAAGCCTTCAGGACAAATACGATGCATGTTTTAAATTCCATCTCATCAATATGGATTCCTCCAAATGCATATTTATTTGCATTATTTTCATCATGCACACAATGTGCAAGACACTCTTGTGCGACCATTGCCGCTGCTGACTTTTGGAACATTCTGCCATTTCTTAAATCTGTGGGATTCTTAGCTGAAGAATACCAAGCTACTCAAGGAACTGTCAAATTTTGCCAAATTTTGGAGATTTCAAGCTATGCACAGGAATAATTTTTATTGCCATTTTTCGAAGATAAGCTTTTGCGTTCTGCTAGCAATTCCTTTTTTTACATAGGAATAATTGTTAATTTTATCTGATCGGCTCAATATTTCACACACTGCATGTGGATTGATGGCGGAATGTTTTGCCAACTTTGACCCAATATCACACCATTTTAAACTTGAAGTATAAGAAAATGCACCGAACATCATTGCTGATGCATGCCGGTGCAACAAACGAGTGTGTGTGCTTGCCATGCAGAACGGCCGAGGTGAACATTCCATGTTCAGATCCTGCTGCTTGCATCGCAATTATGTTCTTCAGTGAAGAGGGCAAACATCTCATTAATGGTTTATGATTAACAAAAGGTTACGTTTCAAGTCGTTTCTTAAAATAATTTCCCGCGAAAAATTGGGCATATACCAGTTTGACCTTATATAACGCACATACATCAGGTATGAATTTCTTTCGAATTGGCTTTAAATTTAATTATCAAAATAAGTGACGAAGGGAAAGCACCACACACCTTCTGCCTATTCGGCTCGGCACACACAGAATTTCGTTCGCTTCACTGGTTGAGGCGAACACACCTGCAGACGCGTACGCCACAATTTTTTACCTATCAAGATTGAACTGACATAAAGACAGTTGAGTGATGCACACAATGATTCAATTTTTTCCAAATTAGGTACATACCTTCTTTCCTCTATCCTAATGCAGTGTTTAAAAAATTGAGTTGATCGAAATGTAGTCATTAGCGGAAAAGAATTGGCAGTTTTTAACACCGTGCATTACAATGAATTTCGTTCTCTCAAATGTAATAGGTGTGAGATGATGAAGAACTTTCGTACGTTAAGAAAAGATGAGTCGATTCACCGTGCAATCAAAGTTCGCATTAATTCGCCGTAAATCGAAAAGAAGAACCTGTCGATGAAGCACGGACCGTACCTGCGGCATCTCCTGATTCCCCCTTAAGAGAAGAGGAATGAAGGCGGCCCAGAATGAATTAAAGATACCAAAAACAGGTTCTCCACTCTCTGTGGACCTCCGCCGCTCCTCGGAGGAGCATCTGGCCACTACCCAATACGCTGACGACACGGCCACATACATGATCGCCACGGCTATCCACGTGGACAGTGTCAAGGGACGCAGGAACATCCATCCACTTCCGGAGTCCACGGGAAGATGCTGTGAAATAAGAATTGAGATCGTGCAGAATTTCTCGCTCCGTGCTCTTGTTCTTGCAAGAGAAGTCGATATTCCTTCCTTAGTGCAGCAAAAACAAAATGATTCTTTGAAGAATGAAGAAAACAGAAAACGACTGTTTTTTTTTAAGAAAACAGCACATTTTTTCGCTTGCAAGAAGAAGGAAAACATCTTAAACACCTCAAGAAACTTACAAGCATAAGAAATTGAAATAAAGGATAAAAGAGATGTAAGATACTAAGAGAACGAATTGCCTTTATTTGTGACAAAAAATTTCTGGAAAAGCATGTTACCACCCTGGCTCAGAAGGAACTAATGTGTCAGCTAAATGGCTCCCAAGACAAATAAAAACGGAACTTTACATAATAGAATGCAGCAATTTTTGGAAATTTTCACTTTTATTCCCTCCTTAATTGGTGCAAGTATCACAGGATTTCAACTAATAAAAGCAAAGTTTTGAAGGAATTAGGGTTGGAAGAAACCTGTCACAAGAGGAAAAAGCGTTGCAATGGACATTCATCGACTGAGCATGTTTTACCCTTCACCAAAAACAGGAGGCGATGAAATGCAAGTCCATCTTGTCCACGGGGTTGACTGGAGGTGCAGTTTGGGAGAGTTAGGAATTCTACTTGCGCACAGGATTTTATTTCCCAAAAACTCCTGGACTTCGACCGCGAGTAAAATATAGTGGTATTGCTGCCTAGCGGAACTGATACCACAGAACTGATGAGATCAAGAACTACGAAATTAAAGTAGGTAACAACCGCATCGCAATTTTTTTTAATTTTCTCATATTGCCATATTCAACAAAATTCTCTAGGTACCTGCACTTTTCTCAGAGACTGGGTGTTAAGTTGAGGTTCGTTCGTAGGTGCACGTGCCTGTACACTCTACTCGCATCCCAACATTTTCCTTAACCGTATGCCTCGACCGAACTGTTGGAAACGTTTCCGAGACCGAAATCCAAAGCCTTCCTGACCTTGTAGAGCATGCTGATGCCGCTGTACATCCATGGCTTGGTGAATTCCACCACTTCCGAGCGAGCCGACGAGATCGTGAGAGCAGCTGCTGCCATATCTCCTTCCTGGTTCACAGATTTATCAACATCTTCGATTAGGAGAGTCGAAAACGACCATGGGTGCATTGTCGCTTCCTAATTACATGATCCAGCATTCTTAGTATGTGATCCAGCACACCTATCTCAAGACCCGTTATATCACAATATCTGTCAAGGTTTCTCATTTTTTCCTCCTATAACTGACGGAACTGTTTCCGCCTGTTTTTCATCCCCTTTTTTCGTTTTGTACCATCTTGAAGGCGAACCCCAGTAAGAATTGATGCTCTTCTTGAGACCAAACCATGAGAAAA